GAACTAACAAATCAGGTAAAATTTATATAAATCAGCTGACAGTGTTGGAAAAACTGACCGACATCTGTGATTTTGCAAACTTAAATTAAGCATAACTTTTCTGAAAAAAAAAAAAAAAAAAAAAAAGCTTTTCACTTGATTTTTTTTTTTTTTTGTTGAACTGGAAATTCTTTAGTTTATAAAGTCCTTTTGGGTAGAGTAGGAATTTCATTTTTTGCAAGTTTCCAGCCTTCAGACCACTGTGCTCCACTTCTATGTGATTGGACACAAAGCTTGTCTTAGCAGGACATAGCTGGTCGAGGCCATGGAGCAGATACAACTATTTGATCAGTCTCAAGACTGCGGAACATTATTTCAAGAGTCTCAGTAGTTTAAAAGACAATAATGCCAACAGAAAATACAAAAAAAAACATCTTTGAGAGTTTTTTTTTTTGCAGGCACAAAAGCTATTGAAAAAAAATAAAAACTTTACATAATTATCAAAATATGTAAGTAAATTACAATGAAATGTTTATTATTTACCATTTTATAAATATTATGAAAAGTTTTTTTTTTTTATTCAATCTAATAAATAATGTTTAATATTTTGGTTGTTGATTCTCATGAACAAAGAAAGAAATGTTATAATTCCATTTTCATGTTTAGATTTTATTTAAATTCTCATCATCACTTGAAAAACAATACACATTATCAAGACATTCAAATGTGTATACAGTAATAGTGGTGTCAAGAGAATAACCATCCTTTTGTCACTGTTTTTTTTTGGGGACGCAAAGGTTAACCATTGCCAAAAAGCTTTCATGGACAAGTTTTTCCTCCATCTGGTGGTAGTCATTTTCAGGTAGGAATGAGAGAAACACTTTGTGGAAGGAATGTATATCAAAATATCTTGATCAAAGTTCTCATACAAAAGTGGATAACAGAGAACTTAGGCAAACCACTCTCCTTTAATTAATTTATCTGACAGGTGTTACAGTCAACAATGATTCCAACATGTCTGCATGTATCCTTTTAAAATGCCTTCTGAATGAAATATCAATGGTAAAACTGAATTAGAAGTGTGAATGTAAAAAGGTTGGGCAATGCATTTTCTAGACTTTATCAGTGATGGGAAAGTGTGGTGGATAATGGAGGACAATGTTTTGTAGCTAAAAACTTGCTCTTTCCAAAATTATTAAACGTTGCTCGTTGTGGGGTTTACAGAAATAAATAGGAAGTGTAACTTTCGGAGCATCTGACTATGTTTAAAAAAAAAAAAAAAAAAAAAAACAATTACCTTCCTTGTTTATGTACCAACATTTTTTTTTCCAGAGAAACATACAAAGAGAATTTCTGAACAAAAATTCAACAAAAAAAAAAAAAAAAAAATTTTACTCATCTACATAGATTTACAAAATTCAACTCATTTTACAAAAAAAAAAAAAAATTTTCTTTCTCAGACTTCACTTCAGGAACTTTTCTTGCCTTGATTTCCAGCCAATTTTGATCCTCAAAAATTAAAATGCAATCTTTTGTCACCTTAATTCTTGGCAGAATCCATCTTGCACATTTATAAAATTACGAGTTATTCATCCACGGTCTGAATCTTGAGATTGTTAACAAAATCCAAAGAAGGGTCTGTAATATTATCGATCCCGACCTGGTATCTCCATTTCAGTGACTTTCTAAGCAATATCATACAGCTTCCCTATAACTTATACAAACAGTTTCATGGTATTTGTTCTAATGAGCTTTCTTCCTTGTTGCCTTGACTGCACGAATTTAAGTATGCTCCTAAATTGGCAATTAGGTTTCACTGATTTATAGTTGAACAAGCTAGTCATACATTCTATTCTAATAATTTGTTTTCTCACCTGTGGAATTCTCTTCAAATTTATTGCTTCCTTGCTACCCTGTTGATCACCATCTTTTGTCTTCCTGAACACTGTTCTTTTATCTTTCCTCTTCATTCTCTTCCACACCCAGTAACCCATTATCCTAGTGATATTATTGCCTTTCTTGAGGTGAAATGATAAAAAATTTCTGTTCATTTATTATTCTTTCTCGCTTTGTTTTTCTTTTCTCACTCAGTAACCACTTATGCCTTTGTGACTTTATTGCCTTGTTTGAGGTGACATGATTAATAAAAATTGTCAAGTCAGATCATTGCCCGCTGTTGGTACCATATATCACTGTGTAACCTATCACATATCACTTGGAGAGAGTTTACAAAAGCAGTTTCTGCACTTAGAAATACGAGGAAGGAACTAGTTTAACTTATCTAGAAATAATGGATTCGTGCCAGATTTTTCGAAAATGTAAATATGTCGAACTTTACTCTTCTTATAGACAGCTTAAAAATATCAAAGAAACGAACATGCAAGAAAGATCTATCTCGACCAGGAGGGTTGTTAACAACTAAGCATCACTAATCTTCTTTCTGGTTACCTAGAGAAGCGAAACGTAATCAAATACCGAAGTTGTTATCAGTTGCCGGGAGCCTCCTGGTTTTTAGAAAACTGCACCCATAAAGCAAAATCACTTTTTCTTTTTACGACAGACATATCGAAACCAAGTGGACGTAAAATTCATGCAGATATGTTTATACAACAGTACATAACATTAGTAATAGATAGACTCACTAACATTTCATTGTTATGGCTAAAAATATAACAGCAACAAAAATCGATAACGATTGATCAAAAAGGGAGGAGGCAAAAAAAAAAAAAAAAAAAAAAAAAAATCGATCAGCGTCAATTGATCTATGATTAAATCCTGAAAGTATAGCACAGAAAATCCAAATGATTTTTCTCTTTTAGTTTTAGGACTTTATAATAAGTTTTAAAAAATAAGTAAATAAATAAATCGTGTATGAACAAATATTTTCATTGTCAGTTTAAAAATAAATAGCTACTAACTAAAAACAGGAATGATTTGCGGAAAAAAAAATAAATAAATAAATAAAAAAATAAGAATAAAGGCACACCTGGGTTCGAACGGTAAACTAAACATCAGGCCTATTGCCAAAATTAAAAAAAAAAAAAAAAAAAAAAAAATCTACTTTAAAAGATTAAAAATCCGGGTGCGACCTAGACTGTTGTAGAAGAAACTAAACAAGATGTAAAATAAAATAAAAGAAGCTCATTAAAAATACAACATTACTCAAAAATGTCTAGACATGTCTCCTCGGCTCGAATTTTGTGAATAATAATCAACGTGTTTACGGAATGAGCCAAAGACGTTCTGTATTGAACCCGACATCTTTTTAGTCACGAAACAGAACAGACTGAACAAACAGGTACTTGTTACGGTGAGGATCTCTCAACCATAGGAATAAATCGAAAACACAGGACACTAACACAAATCTAGCAGTTCCCTAAGTACTAAACATTGAGCAGATGTTAAAAATATGAATTGCATTTCATTTATTTTATTACTAATGTCAACGTCTTTTTTCATCGACGTGTAGTCGCCGTTTAATAATAGAACGGGTCAGAGGTCACGACAAGACCTACATTTTTATGCAAAGGAGATGGTGTCAGTTTTAAAACGAAAATACACATGCGATAGATTGTTCAATGCTAGAGAGTTTCTCTATATAAAAAAAAAATTTTTATTATTAGCTACTTTTTTAAGAAAATGAACGATATAAAGCCTTTTAATAAAAAATCCTATTGAAAATTTGATAGAAATTTAAATAAAAGCGAACGATCGCATCACTTTATAGTTCAAAGATTTTCAAATTTTGGCGCAAAAAATTTAAATAAATGGTTACCATGACCTTCAGACGGAAAGGAAGGAAGGATTAATTCAATTTTATTGCATAAATAAATAATTTGCGTGTTAAAACTCAGTAATTATTCTCCCTAAAATAAACACATATCAAACAAAAAATATTTACAATCGGTCAGAGGATAAGAGTTAAAGTTATTTTTAAATACGAGAAAAACTAAAAAGGTATCATTATTGGATAGTGGATACAATATTGTTTCTATCACTTGGCAAATATATATATATATATATATTATACACACAAAAAGGTGCGGACTAGAGACATAAAAAACCGACAGATCAAAAAATTTATTTTAAATAATAAAAAGTTCAATAAAGTCATTTGTAATCTTAGGTACATGTGATTTTTTTTTAACCAACCCTAACACTTTTCGTTTAAAAAATGATCAGTTCTTTCTACCCAGCTGGTCATAACAACAACAAAAAAAATCCAGGCGTCGTGTTAAGCTAAATGTTTTAGTATTTAATCATTTTTTAAAATGATTCTTTTTATTTTTGCACAAGTCTTTCACCATAAAATAAACATAATTCAATTTCTACCAGTTTTATCGTTGAAAAATGAAAACTACTCCAATTTCAAATACGTTTTTTTAAATTTAACTTACAATAATATTTAAATAAAAATAAAAAATGGAAAAGGAATTTTTTTTTTTGATTGTAATTTCAAAAATCTAAATTGTTATTGTTAAAGTGAAAGATTGAGGTAAATTAAATTTTACATAAAAATTGATGTAATAATTAGTAATACTAACTAAAAAAAAAGTAAAACACGTGTTGAGGGGGGAGCATAGATGTCATGTGAGAAATTTCTCTTGAGGAAACGATATTTTTTTCTATTATAAAATAAGAATAGGAAAAAAGGTAAGTCTTTTTCAGTGAAAGACATTTAAAAGTTTAATGTTTATAAACAAGTGCTTTTTCGTTATTTAATGCTGTTTTAAAACAAAGGACGCAAATAACGTTTTTAGGTTACAAAACTTTAAAAAGAGGGGAAAAAAGCATAAAATTGCAAACTTAGATTTTAAGATAACTATTTCTTCAGTTTGTACATAAAGTATTTTTTAAAGAAATGTAAAAGACAAACTTTGGTTTTTAGAGAATAGCGAAAAAAATCATATCCTAGCGATATTCACAACTGAGAAGTGAGGGTGAAAAGGAAAAAAAAACTATATAAAAAAATACACACAAAAATCATATATATATACATCATAAATAAGAAACAAACTTACTTTCAAAAGCCTGTAGAAAAAGTTCGTGGTCAGCTTTGACCGTTTCAAACTGTGTATCTAGTGCATTCTGATGAGTGGCATTTTGTGCTGAATTGTGAGAGGACCCATGTGAGTGGTGGGTGCCCCCGGCGTGGGGCTGGGAATTTGATTTCTCACCCTGTTTTTCTTTCTCTCTTTTTCTGGGCCTCATTTCTCGCTAATTTTGTGTTAGTATTTTTTTTCTTTAAAATTTAAAAGAAAGAAAGAAAACCCAAAATCTTAGGATATACGCGTAAATAAATGTGTGTATAGAAAACATACACACTTCTTTTTTTTTTTCCTTAAATAACAGGGAAGTGAGACGAGCCCATTATTTTCACTTGCTTTTAAAATACCAAGTTAAGAAGACATTTAAATGTTTTCCTTTAATTTAAAAAGAAAAGAAAAGCGATTTAAAATAAAGAAAAAGTTATACAAGCAGAAAAATATATAAGACAATAATACTGTTAGAAAAAAAAAAAAGAAAATCAAAACTTTTTTCTTTTTAAACGTGGCCAACTGTGAATATTTGAATAAATTAAAAAAAAAAGTCTAAATAAAACAATATCTAAAATCTTATAGAAGATATTTAATCGACAAATATTTAAAAACTTTAATTTTTTTTTCAAACGGCATGAACGTCTCGAACCCGATTAAAATCTTAACTATATAACAGACTATTTTCTTTTGAGATAACTGAGAAGCAATGTAATTTTTTAAAAAACAATCTCCCTCCAAATCGGTATTTTTTTTTTTTTTTTGTCTAAACTGTTGGTTTAAATCTTTGCAGCTAAGAAATTAACTGTTAATTTACTGGATTGATCCAAAAAGGATTTAAATTTGTATACACAGTGTTCGGCTTTTAGAGGATTGCACATATATATATTTTTTTCATTTTAAGAATGAAACCGGTAAAAATACCACTGCATATATATTTATTATTATATAGCTAAGTAATGGCAGTATAGCTATATTACTTAAATGTAGCTTTGGCTAGGTAAAATTAAATTAGGTTGTTGCAAAGAATGGAATTCCGTAAAAAAAAAAAAAAAAAAAAAAAAAAAAAGTGGAATAAGAAAGATGTAGGAATGAATAACGATATAAAAAAAATATTTAAAAAAAGAAACTGATTTTTTTACCCAGAAACAAAATAAACTACAATCCGTATTGATGCAAATTAGATAAGCAAAAGTTAGTATTAAACGAACCTATTAGGCTTGCTTTCTCAAACTAAATGAAATGAAATAAAAAGAATAACCAGACAATATATAAAAGTTATATATTGTCGGTTTTAAAACCAATCCTAAAAGGGAATGGTTGGTTGCTGTCGGGTTGATGATGATGATGGTCGCGGCCACCCTCCCCCACTTTTAAATGAATTTTTTTTTTCTTTAACTCCTGCCGGGTTTTTTTGGTGGGGATTTGTGTACGTGGATCCCTGCCTGGTTTTTTACTTGTCCCTTCTGGTCACTGGTCCCCGTTAATCTGATATATTTACAGCAGTTATGTCCAGATGGCATGGGCGGTGTGTTCGTTGTGCGAGCGGCCCTCCACACCACTGCCCAATTCCGCGGGAAGTCTACACACACAAAGCGGCCGGGGCATCATGGGATAGCAAGCACTAACAGCAGCAGCAGCAAAAGCTCTCAACGTCTGGTTGCCAGGCAAAACCAACCTATCAACCCGCTCCGGAAAAAAATTACTCCCAACTACCACAGTTACCGTTTAAAAACCCAAATAATATCACCAATGCCAGTCTGAAATCTCTATTGATGTATTCAAGAGTTTCATTTATCAAAAACGTGATGCGAAACGGTACCTGAGCATGTCATTCGTGTTGAATTTGCCAGGAGTAACTAATCCAATTTCACGTCCTAGACTCCTGTCTGTTAGAATGAGTTTGAAAAGCGCGATTTTTCTGCTATTGGAGAAAATGTTTTGAATTTAAATTATTATATATAAATAAAGTATAAATTATATATTTCATAAGTGTTTACATTAATAAATAAATAATGTGTTTTTAATTTTCTTTTTATATAGGTTTATATAATATGTACCAAATATTTTCTATAAATTTATTTATCTTTTTAAAAATGTGATATTTACGACTGGACGTGAGTGAAGTGAAATGTTTTACTTACTTACTTACTTAGTTTGTTTCACATTAGCAAATTCTTGAAAGGATGGAATAATTGTACCAGTGATTAAATTTTGAAAAAAAAAAATGAAATTAAAATACAATAAAACTAAGACCGTTGATATATGACAAGATTTGCACATTTTATAAAGTATTTTTAAACTACTATAAGTTTTTTTTAAAGATTTCTGTAATTTGTGTAAAAAAAATAATTCGTTTCAGTAAATGATTTATAGAAATAATTCTTTATAATGGCTCATTCCCATTTTAAACAAATATTCAAAATTATACTTAAATTTTGTTATTTGGTGTTTGCTATAGTTTATGTCATAGAGATACTTTGAGAAAAAATTATTGGATTTACATGCAAATTCCAATTTATTGCTCATGACAATACATCTAGAAATGCATTCTCATACATACATACATAAATAAATACATACACACACACACACACACACACATATATATATATATATATATATATATATATATATATATATATATATATATATATATATAAATATAAAAGAGCACTGAGATCAACACCCAGCTGGTTGTTGACCTCAATGTCCACTTTATATTTACATATTCTCAATTCCTGATATTGAGCACTTTAACCCTTAAATATAGCATACCTTAAAAATATATATTGATCATATATATATATATATATATATATATATATATATATATAACAACAGGAAAAAAGCACATGAAAATATATTGTTTTGAAAATATATCTGATTATGCATTTCAAAACAATATACTTTCATGGACGTTTTCAATGATCAATAATTTAAATCTGTTGAGATCATATGCCCTGATTTTATAACACACATATATATATATATATATATATATATATATATATATATATATATATATATATATATTCATACATGTTTCATTAAATAATATAGATAAGTGTTGTCTATTTATTTTATGTAAATTCTTTTCATAACGTCTGATAAGCTTAATAACATTATCATTAAACGAAGAAAGAAATTCACAATATTGATCCATATTTTTTAATCCAATCTAAGCTTTCAGCTTACATAAGCCATTATCAAAGATGTCAATTACTGTACAACATATTAAGCAATATACAGACAAGGCAGTGATGATAGTCTGTGATTGTTTACATGGATGATTTATGAAGACACAAGGGGTTACCAGGGGGAAGGACAATAAAAGAACAGGTTTCTGGAGGACAAAAAGTGGCGATTGATGTTGCATTTAATGTTTTTAAGATTGTAGGTGGCAGGTAGATTTATAAATGTGCAAGATGGATCCCAATGAGAAACAATTGTCTGTTATGACACAGTGAACCAACTTTCTTAGCAGCAGACCTAGAAATTGATTCAATATAACAGCTCCACTACATGTAAGTAGAAAACATGATATCATGAAGAGGCAATGAGTTGTTCTCCTCTGGAGATTAGCATCAATGATGCTGATGGAAAACAAAAATGATTCTCTAATAATTAAAAGATGGCATTTTTGTCTTTGAGGTGTTAAAATTTACAAGCCATTTTTTGGAGTTAGTTTTTGTTATATAGGAATAAAATATTGCTGCCAACACTGGAGTTGGAACACAGATCACCAGAAAACAAACACAGGTGATCCCATTTTGAATAAGTAGATCAGATGATGGTAAAGGAAATATATATATATATATGGGAATTAGAGTAGCATCTAAATGATCACTATATGGATTACTTCAGAAGTATGCTGGTCAAACTCTCTGCTTTTGTGCAGAGAGTATCCCCAGACAAGGCTATGTAGAAGGGCAGAGTCTTGTCTTGGGAGACAGCTACCTGACCCCGTTTCTTACGGGGTCTACGGGAAATTTTTGACTGACACTACAGGCTCAGATACCCCACAATAAACTTGTCCGATCACATGGAGCAGTTAGTGAATATCTCACTATATAGATTACTATTCAGATCACTATTCAGTAGTTACTTTGCAAATGAGTATTATCAAGCAAGTACTATTAGTGTGAGTATTATTCAAAGATATCTGACACCAGCATTGTTCAATGATGTTACTATAGCTGTATCTGTGATACAAAGTTTCTATTACAATGAGCATTACAAAATTGATAATAAGTATTCGTTGACATGACAAAAGTGGCAATGAGTGTTCATTGACATCACAAAAGTTTTTGAGAGTAGCTGCTAGTTTCACTTTGGATTTACCAGATTTACTAGAGTAATTTACAAGAGTAAATAGTTGTGTCATCAGCATAAATACCTATTTGAGAACTGATGGCATTGGGCAGGCCATTGATGATGACAAGAAACAATGTAGGCAGGACCCCTGCATTAATATAATATTGACGTCGGAACAACCGATCAAACAGCATCCATATCGTCTAAACCCTAGAAGGTTAAAAGTTATGAGAAAAGAAATTAAATATATGATGGAACACGGAATTATTGAGCCTTGTCAAAGTGAATGGGCATCACCCTGTGTATTAGTAGACGAGCTGGATGGCACTGTACGGTTTTGTACGGATTATAGAAAAGTGAATAGCATCACGAAGGCAGATGCTTATCCAATCCCCAGGATGGAGGATTTATTCGACCGGATTGGTCAGGCTAAATATATCACCAAGCTAGATATGCTGAAAGGATATTGGGCCGTACCGTTAACTGACAAAGCGAAAATGATATCAGCGTTTGTTACCCCAGAAGGAGCTTATCAATATCGAGTTATGCCCTTTGGTATGAGGAACTCGCAAGCTATGTTTGTACGTCTAATGAATAGATGTTTGTCCAATATTCCAGGAGTTGATGCATATATCGATGATGTCGTAATTTACAGTGACACAGAGAGTGAGCATCTGGGTACAATGCAAAAAGTCTTTGAAAGATTAAAAGAGGCAAAGTTGACAGTAAATCTTGGCAAGAGTGAATTTTGTAATGCCAAAGTGAAATATCTAGGACATGTAATAGGGCAAGGAAGGATTAAACCAATAGAGGCAAAGACTGCAGCCATTGCAAACTTTCCTCATCCCACTAATAGCC